TGAATGTTGTTATGTTCTTCATGGTGCAGTTGTACAGACAAGGTAATGTCAAACCCTTCGTCGAACATATTACAAAGGATGCTATCCAGAATACAAAATTAATATTGATACCTATAATAAATAATCAACATTGGATACTCCTTGTTGGGACAATGAATGAGAGTAAATGGAGAGTTTATGCTCTTTACCCAACTGGATGCATTTGGTCATCACCCAAAGTATTGTAAGTTATAATTATTTAAAGATTGAGCATTTTTTGAGACACATTTAATGACTCGTCTTTAAATACACAGATTGAGCATTTCTTAAAGGATACCAGTGATGCTTTCGAGGATAATTTGATTAAATGGCCAGTTGTTATGACCAGGGGAATACCAGTGCAAAGTAATAGTTATGATTGTGGTGTTTATGTTTGTAAATATATGAAGACACTTGTTAGAAAAGAGAAGGTAAATTGGGTGGAGAAAAAGGACTGGCAGGAATTAATGCATTTATTCAGAGCAGAGATTGTATACGACATTTGTAAATTTGCTTTGGAGAAATCAGACTAGGTTTCAAAGGTCAACATTTATTGTTGCTAATACGAATTTTGTTTGCCAAGATATACAATTTTGATTGATCTCATATGGTATGTGACCTTTATATGTGCCTTTTACATGATTTATAAATATACGAACTTTTTTTCTAAATATCATTATTTATGTCACTGTGACAGGCAAGATTTTGTCCTCCTGACTGTTAGGTTTGCTCAGTATCTAATATTATTCATCCAGTTGTTGGAACTAACATTTTTCATAAGCATTACAATTAATGTTTTATTTATCTTCCCATGTGCAGATTGCTGGAACATCTACTTTCATGCTGATGGCGAAACATTTGATGTGTGTGTGGGGTTGTATGTGGCTGTGGATGTGGATGTGGGTATTGTATTGTTGTAAAGAAAATGTTTGTTGTAAAGAAATGTTTATTATACTGTTGTAAATAAAATGTGGAGTTGTATAGCAGCTATTGCATTTCGTTGCCCTATACTTCATTGTTATATATAATGTGGTGAGAAATTTGTGTTGTTCATTAGTAGCCATTACATTTCGAATTGAGCATGTCTTATTACATAATATGCCTTGAAATCTAGCCTAAATGTAGTTCTTATAGAGAGAATGGAAGCTAGTTTAACTGCATATGTAAATCCATATTACAGATAGCTGTTCACAAAAAAATTGTGTTGTTCATTAAATACTTTGTAAACTTGAGTTCACTTAAAAAAAGGGAACTTATTTGTCATTGACAGAATAAAATTGTATACAAATTTCATTAATACAGACAATGCTCCTTCAAAAGAAAATATCAGAATTACAATAATGTATACAAATTTCTAGGTACATCCTCCTCAACAAATTTCTTTATACAGAGAAAATTACACAAAAATTAATATCCCAATGAAATTGTCATTGAAACATAAATGTTGTGTGCATCCTAACTAGAACCTGTATTAAAAAACAAAGGAACATATTTGTTAATAATAACAAATAAAAACATTCAATTTAAGAATATGTCAAATTACTTACTGATCATGTATTAGATATGTCATCATTGCAGTGTATGATTCCCTGTGCTTTGGAGGAAAGAAATTCTGCATTTGGAATAACCACATTTATTATAAGATTTAAATAATGTATACAAATTTCTTCATAAGGTTGCTGACCTGTGTTAGAAAATTAGGCAGTGACGATATGTTTGGATAAGGATTTAAAGACTTGGGTTCTTGA